AGCGTCTTGCTTTCTGCAACATCCCCGAATGGCTGCACGCAGAAAGCAACCCCGTGAATGTGATTTCATCTGGCTCTACTCCAGCACGTATCATTTGGTTAAAGAGTGTCAAAGCCCACATGCCACAACCGTGCTGCGCACATCCGACTATGGTTGAGTTCCATGACACAATGTTCTTGTCACCGATTCTCTTAAATATAGCAACTCCATCATTTATGCTTCCACATTTGGTATACAAGACGATAAGTGAATTACCGACAAAGACATCAGTTTCAAAACCTAGCTTAACCGCTGATGTTTGAATCTCCTTGCCCCGTTCAAGATCTTCTAATCCGCAACACGAATTCAATGCACTAGTGAAGGAAGACTGATTAGGAAGGACACCCGATTTCAGCATGTTCCTGAAAACCGTCAACGCATCTTCGTGTTGGCAGTTCAAACCACATCCCGTCAATAGAGCCGTCCATACTACAACATTCTTATGCAAGCTCGCATTGAAAACACTGTACGAATTCTCCATTTGCTTGCAGTTTGCATAGAGTGTAATAAATGAAGCAGCTACAAACTCGTCAAAGCAGTACCCTAACTTGACAATCTGACCATGAATCTGAACACCTAAATCTAAACGCAACAACTTTGCAGAAGCTGTCACCACACACACAAGTGTTGTCAAAGTGGGTTGCACACCAGAACCCATCATCTCTCGAAAAAATTGCAAAGCTTCATCCGTCCTCCCAATTCTGTCAAGCCCCCCAATCATCGAAGTCCACGAAATAACATTCTTACAATGCATCACTTTAAACAACTTCTTAGCATCTTCCACTCTTCCATTACTGAAGTATCCATGAATCATCGAATTCCAAACCGCCACATCCCTCACAGGCATCTCACGAAACAACCGCTCTGCCATCTCAACATCACCAAACTGCAGGAATCCATTCATAATCGTCGTCCACGAAACAACACTCTTTCCAGGCATTCCATCAAAAAGCTCCTTAGCCTTGCTCAAATCTCCACAATCCAAACACCCTTTGATCATCGAATTCCAAGAGACTGCATCCTTCTCAGGCATTTCGTAGAACAGTTCGAGGGCATTGTCGAGCCTGCGCATTCGCGCATACCCTATGACCATCATGGTGTACAAATCAACACCGGGAAAAGGGATTTCATTGAAAACTCGGCGAGCTTGGTCTAGATTTTGGTTCTTTAGATGATCAGAGAGCAGTGATTTGTACGATGGGGCGGTCAATTTGGTGTAATTCATCAAACCCACCAAGCATTCGGAGAGTTTCGGAAGACTTTTGCGTAAATTGGAGCGTGAAATGGAGAGTGAAAGTGGAAGCTCTGAGGTTCCGAGGCTTTGAAAAATGGCGGGAAATCTTAGCATGACCGTTAATCGGTAACGGTGCAGAAAACCAACGTGCTGCAGAAGACAGACTGGTTGGGTGGTTTACACTAAAAGGCCAAAACGCAGCGTCTTGTACGCGTCGAAGGTTTCTTGCCCTGCACATTTGACTTCGGCACACTATTTTAATCCCAATGCACTTTGAATAAATTAGAAGAGTATTAAACATAAAAATAAATACGAGCGTGGAGAAGGAGAAAAATAGTGCAGAATCATTTTATTATAAGTTTTTGCTGTTAATAATAAAGATAAATTTGAATTTTATCTAACTCTTATTACACTAGACAATAACAGTTAATCGGTGCAATATATTTTCTCTAGTTTGATTCTTGAAGTTCTCACTAACTTAACTGTAGTCAGGGAGTTTTCATTCTTATTGTTCTTGTGGATTAGGATATCTGTCTAGCATAGTGTGCTTACTCCTTTGCACCTCAAGTTTGAATTCTCTTTGCAGTTTAAAGTAGTTTAAACTATCGTTTGCATTAAAAAAAAAAAGTCAGGAAGGTGACACTACTCAAACAAAAAATAATAATATATGTGTCCAACTTGATAAGAATACCACTTTCTTTTAATCTCTTAGGAAGAATTTAATGGCACAAAGCCTAGAAAAAGAATGTACCCCAAGAAGAAGACTTAAAAATGTGAGCCAAGTAAGAATCCGGACATTTTTTGCTTGGTTTGCCTTGATCATCAAGCATCCACCTCCTTTACAGCCCCACACATTTAGGGACCAACACCCTCAGCAAGAAAAGAACCAAACCCTTCTTCCAAGTTCCATTCCATATATATACTAAGATCACCTCCTTCTGCTTTAACACATGCAATAACAAGTACAAATCCTTTCTGCATTCCAACAGCTTTTGATCCTACAGAAATGGCCAACCAGCAGTTAAAACCCGTTGCCGGTCTGCTTTTGGTTCTCAATTTATGCATGTATGTCATCGTCTTGGGCATTGGAAGCTGGGCCATCAACAGAGCAATTGACCACGGTTTCATTATTGGTAAACGCTCTTAACTGCTTGAGCTACAACCCCTTGTTTCTGTGTCTCTCTTTCTTGTTTTACACTTTTTGTAGTATATGATTTCTTCTTTGTATGCTAATGCTGAGTGAGACTTTTGTAGGTCCTGATGTTCATCTCCCGGCACATTTTTCCCCCATATACTTCCCCATGGGAAATGCTGCGACCGGGTTCTTTGTGACATTCGCGCTGCTCGCTGGAGTTGTTGGCGCTGCTTCAGCTATTTCCGGTATCAACCATCTTCGATCTTGGACCTCTGAGAGCTGCCGTCTGCAGCCACAGCTGCTACCATTGCCTGGACCCTCACCGTACTTGCCATGGGGTACTTACAAGTCATTGACATCCATAATAACAGATGCATAGTTGCATACAATTGTTTGAACTACTTTTGCTCTGTATTAACTGGCTGTTAACCTAAATCGTGCAGCTTCGGTTGCAAGGAGATTGAGCTTCGGATCAGAAATTCCCGCTTGGTAAGATGAAAATTTTATGTCGTGACAAAATGGTTATCAAACGAACCCTAAAATACTCGTTCAATTTCTTTGCAGAGAACAATGGAGGCCTTCTTGATCATCCTTACCGCGACGCAGCTTCTGTATTTAGCAGCCATTCATACCGTTGTATCGAGGAGATGATCTTTTAGAGTAGAACAACTTTTGTGTTTGTGTGCAGCGTCTGAATTCTTGTGTGTTAATTTTTTTTGTTTTTTCACTTTTCGCTTTGAATAAACCTGGCCATGGTTATGGTATCAATAGTGTGATATAATTGGATTGGATTGGATTGAATACATAATGTTTTCAACGCTCATCTTATGAATTACGCTCTCGACGCTGGAATTTTTATAGCGTGACGTCCAACGCCTTCACCTGGTGTTACTAACTATCCATCGCGAATGGTAAATAGAAGATTTTCAACTCCGATCAATAATATACGTAAAACGGCTACGAATGCAAACAGGTACAAGAGCGCAACATGACAAATAAGCAACAAAATTGATGGAGAGAAAAACCATCAATCAAACACTTTCACTATTCGAGCAATATGTTACTATGTAAATTACGGGAAGCGGGATTCGAACTTGGCTACAACAATCAAGTGAAGACTGATTGAGAAGTTGCAAATTTATGTCACACCACTGGCCTACCAATGCAAAAAAGGAAGTAAAAGCAGGTAGATATAAAGCTGCCTGCTATTCCCGACACCATCACCACCGCAAATCTTAAATTGGTTTTTATCTAATCGGGTTCTTGCCCAGTATTCTCTAGGGGACAAAAATACAAGTTCTAATATCGAAATATCATAAAATTCTCTGAACATTCTTGATTCTTCACTTCCATAAGCTTCATGAGTCCACTGAAACCCGTCATGCTCGTTTTTTGGTTACAAAACCGCTTCCTCCGTTGTTTCTGCATCACAAGAAACCTTGAAAAAAGTCAACCAAGATGCAGTTTAAAAGGTACTACAAACTCGAACGGTAACATCAGTCAATTCCATAGAAAATTGTTATGCAGGAAGGCCACGCTTATATCTCAATGCTGGCATAAAGTTGAGCAATAATCTATAGCTCAGCACCTAAAACTCAGCAACGTTCTCAGAATATGAGACAATTTAAGCAGGTTTGGATCAAATCAGAAAATACCTGACTCTTGAAAAGATCACATTCAGATAGCACGCTTCGTAGATAAGGTAAAACAGAAATGCCTAATAAATTCTCCTTTAGGTGAGCTAGCAGCTATCTAACCACTCCTAAACGACGAAATATGAGACCCTGTTCTTTTAATCTCAAGTACAATCTCATCTACCTTTACAATTGGCACAAGGGACTGTGGACATCAAGATATGAGTTCTCGAACATTTGGAATTCTGGCTTCTATCTAATTTCTTCTCCACGAGGACAGCTGAAAGTCTGAAAGTACTGCTTTAAGTCTCCTTTGGGAAGAAGCCTCAACAATTTCTTCTCCATTCTTATCTTTTAAAAAAAAAAAACTTTAAATCCAGGCACAATGTATTGTTATACCTTTACTCTTCTTCTCACTGCTTTACTACTCAACACTTGTATAGCATGACAATCCTACTTGATTGATAACTAAATTTCCTTTTAACTCTGTAAGATAACACATTATGCAAAACATTAAATGTAATTCTCCATCCACTATTTACATTCCATAGGCAACATGATAAACATTATAAAACCCTTCATATGAGAAAATCGTAACCGAGGCCTTTCGTGGCAACCAATCTTGACATAGTGACTAGGGTGGACATCTCGTATACGAAAGCTAGCAGTTTGCCCTGTCTCCTCCAGGGACACTTCCAGTTTTTGGTTACTATTTTTAACTAGAACTGCAATCCATATTCTATAAAAGCATAAATCAGACACCTAGAGACCTCGGTCAGTAAAGATCAAGAATTCAAAATTTAGTAATTAGAAATGACCACTTAAACAATTATGGCATCCCTGTTACATCATAAACACTTCTGACTACCTCACTGACCCAGTCTACTCATTTGCATTGACAAATACATAGAGACAAAAGGCAAGACATGTTATTTGAACTTGATAGAAAAATCCCAACCTGAACTCATCTACCGGAGCCTGCTATCGCATCCAGAATTCCACAGCAGCTAAGCCAAGATGATTTTTGCGCCACGGGTGGGGCCGGAGCTATCAGAGGCTGCATAATTCCAGTCCAAGAAGTTGCATTTAGTTATACAACAAAAAGAAAAGAAAAAAAAAAAAAGAAGATATAACGTCAAACTTTCAATGAAGAAAAAAATGTGGCCAATACCTGCTTTTCAGAATATTCTGGAACCTCAGTATCTTTGATGGGTTCAGCATCTTTGATGGGTTCAGCATCATTACTAACTTGGGCCAGAGAAGTACCTAATGATGGCAATGCTTTACTCTCATTTTCTTTAGACGCAGATTCCACCACACTTGAAGATGCCTTGGCAGTATCATTCAGTAATGGCAATGATTTATCCTCAGTTTTCTTTGATACAGGATCCCCAATAGGCAGTGATGTCTCTGTACTATTCTCTAACCCCGCATTTACTACATCATTGGAGATTGCTCCACTTTCATCTAGCGGACTTTCTGTGACAGAAACCTCATGCTTAACAGAATCAACAGAAGGGGCACCCTCGGTAGTAGCTGAACTTGTAGTCTTCCCAGCTGGTGCATCTTCATTATGATTTTTTTCCTCCGAAACTGAAGCATAGGTATCCTCCCTTCGCCTTCTATCGACAACTCGAGACTCTTCATCTGAACTACTACTGCTAGAGCTTCTGTCGTCCCCGTTAGATGATCCCTTTGCAGACTTAGCATCCTCAATAACCACATCTTTGCTCCCAGAATCGTCTTTCAGTTCCCTCTCAATTCCAACTTTCTGAACAGCCTCCGCATCCCTAGGCACTCCCTTATCTTGGGAGTTCTCATCATTACTTCCTAACATGGTTCAATTCAATCACAAGACTTTCAATCAAAATCATGCAAAGCTTAAGGCTTCAATAAACACCCATTAAGCCAATTCAAAACCCAAAAAGTGTCAAAGACTCAAAATTCAAAACTGTCATTAGAGAGGGGCATAGAGGACGAAATGAGAGATTCACTAACTAGCATGCAACCATAATTTGTTCACCCAGAATAAAGCTCAACACATCACATCCGCAAATACCCACCAATCCAAATGGGGGAAAATGAAACAAAATTAAAGCTACCAAAAACAAGAAACTGGCAAAAACCCAATTACCCAAATCGAAAAAATAACAAGAAAATTTAACTGAAAAGGGTTCGGAAACAACGGAGTGAGAGATGGGTAAGTGTGGGATTGATGAATTGGATAAATAAACAGACAAAGAAAGCACCTTGAGGAGGAGGAGGATTGGATGCGCCGTTGTGGGTTTCCTGCTCCTTCTTTTTCTTGGCAGCTTTTCGCTTCTTGGCACCTGATGGCATGATTACAGGCTCTCTCTCTCCTCCTTGTGGGGATTGTACAGCAGGAATGGGGTCTCTCTCTCTCTCTCTCTCCTCTCGGACGGAGAGACAGATCTTCGTATTATTCAATCGAATTCAAAACCCCCCCAAGTCTTCTCCTTCTGTCTCTCTCTAAAAGGTGATTATGTGGGACTGTTTTGGTGGCGAGGATCTATAGCTGGATATGTTTAAAAATAAAACAAATAAAAAATAAAAACTTGAAAATGGTAAGAAATAAGGAGAAGAGGATTGTATTGGGATTTCTGAAGAAAATTTTCAGGCATTGATCTATATATAGATTCGTGTGAAGATTCTGTGTGTTTTGGTTGGGCTAGTTTATATAAAAATTGGAAACTTATGTCCGGGTCATCCGGCTACAGTGGTGGAGTCAGAAATTTATAACAATTGAGTCATAAAATAGAAACTTCCAAAAATTGACCATACTTTTATATAAAATTGCCAATTTATAATTTTTTTCTTTTTTGCAAAAAAATAATTCCATAAACCCTAAAACTTTCAATTAAGCCCACGATGAGAAAAAAATACTGATATGGTATGATTGGAAATCCTGTGATACAACCAAATGCGACGAAGGATGCTTGACCTAACTTAAACACCAGAGAAGTTTTGAAATAGGAGATATGATTGGGTGGGGAAGACATTTGCGTATTTGATAAGTCTTCAACTTGCTTGAGAATTAGCATGCTATAACTTTTTTTTTTTTTTTTTTTAAGCAAAACATAACACAAACGACGGAATTTTTGTTTGTTTCAATTTAAAGATATTGTTTAAAGTTCTCCTTGTTTCATTTGTCTTAGTTAGTATAGGGATCAAACGAAATTTCAAATAGGGGATTTTATATTTATTGTGCTCAGCAATAGCCAATAGCCCTATATTGGCTTTGTTATTGGCCGAGAGAAACTTACTTATAATTTGAATGTCATTGTATCAATATTTTAAAAAATAACAGATTAGCATGAGAAAAAGTTAAATTTTATTATAAACATAATTGATTTGAGATATTGTTAGAACGAGATAACTCCTAGACTATATAGCTTGGGTTCTAATATTAGTGCCAAGTGTCATTTTATTAGTGGGTTCTTGATGTCGATGTGTGAATGTTTGAATTTTGGAACGTTCACGAGGAGTGGGTCCTTTTTTGGGGAATGTAGCTTAAAGTAGTTGGGTGCAGGTGTATGGTATGCAATTTTTGCACTGTCTTTTTATTTTTCATTTTGGTTTCAAGTGCTAAGATATAGTTATGTTAGACTTGGCGCATGGTCGTGTAACTCGTATTTGTTATGTTTGTATTATATATGTTATTTTATTTGCTTAACAAATAATCTGACAATAATTCGATTTATTAAAATGTTGTATTATTTCATGTCGGATTAATGAATTGAAATTTCTATACTTAATGTATAGATCTGAAAAATGATATGTTATATGTATTTAACGGATGACTCGATATTGACTCGAATCGTTAACGGATTCTTGAAGAATTATCTGATAACGACCCGAATTATTAACTAATTGATCTGAAATATATTATTTTCGTATTGTTTCGTGTCGAGTTAACAAGTCTTGCAAAAAAAAAAAAAATCAGTTAAAAATCATGTATCATGTTTTAATTTTGTGTTATGGGACTAATGATTTTTTCTTGGGGTTTTTGGGTTATGTTTTTTTGGTTGAGTGGACATAATAATATGAATCCGGGGTGCATGTGATTCTCTGTGAATCTGTGACTGCCATTATTATTTTATGGATGGAAGTAATGTTTGGCTTTATTATGATGTGGTTTGAAAATTTTGATATTGTGCGCTATCTTTCATGAATTTTTCATAGAAAAAAAAAAAGTGAATAAATATACTTTTTTTTTAATTCGAGAGAAATTTAACTAAATTAATTTTAAACTACGAAAATGAAATTTGAATTTGAATACAAAAAGATAAGCACACTGATATAACAACTTAATTAAGTCAAAAAGTATGCACCCACCTCCTTATGCAACGATCTAATCTCATATGTTGTCAACAAGGCATGCACATATAAAGAAATTAAAACCATTGACTTTTACAACAAAAATGAAAGTAAGTGAAAGAGTAGGTTGTGAAGTTTCATATTCTAACTTCGTTGGACATATATGAGAAAATAATCGGTGTAATTATCATATTATCATGTAATGTTATTTTAGTATTTTGTTGTAAACGTATATATAATATTGATTTGTTAAGTTTTGTAGAGTTAATAACAATTTTCTTTAAAAATATCAATCATATTAAATAATCGTATTATAAGTGCGACTTAATAACATCACATACGTTCTAATATTTAACATATATATAAGCGAAATAATTAGATATTATTGCAATAATGTTTTATCTCACTTTGTCGAGAAATGTTGCAAACTCCAATCCCCCACTCACAAATGAAAGAGAAAAACATAAAAGAAAAAAAGAAGAAGGAAAAGAAGTGATGCTTGAGAAACTATCTACTTAAACTATAATTTGAAAATTACATAATATGTCGGTTGATGATTAAATTTTTTCTTTAAACCACTAAAGAAGGAAATCAACCATCAACCATAATATTACGTGGCCTGCAAAATATAATCTAAAGAGATGATATCCCTAACATTTTCTCGGTTGATGGTCGAATTTTTTTTAAAATTAAAAAAAAAAAAAAAAAAAAAACCATAAACTGCCGCATCCCGTTGTTTACAAAAAATAATCTAAAAATCTATATGGAGAACTCTTTTAAAGTGAGGAGGCATGCTACTGCGTCCTTCACACACACCACGCTCAAAGTGATTCAACGTCCTTGACTTGTTTGATATGATTATTTATTTAATCATATAAAAATTTAAACAGGTGTTTAAAGTTTAATGTGGACAATGATAATATTAATAATACCCAATTTGACAACATAACATTCAAGATTAATGATTAAGACGTTAGCTGGGGACGATGCCACTTAAACCTTTCATTATGAATATTGATTAAGACGTTATCTGTCGGCAGACCCAATTCTAATAATTCTAAACATGCTTGTATTGATAAGGGTTTTCGTAAGCAATGTGGATTAATCTAGTTAGTTTCGACATCGTATATTTTGAACTCATATTTGAATCTCTCTATAGAGTTTAAAGGAGAAAAAAAAATTGAAATGTTATATAAATTTGTACCTTTTTTTCAATTTGTTATTTTATCCTAATTGCGTTAAGTTTTCCAAATAAGTGACTTGTCTTCAAGGTTATTTTAGACATTTCAACACCTTACTCTCCTTCAAATAAGTTGCCCGTGACAAAAATAATTCTAAGGTTTCTGAAAAAATACAAAAAAGGGTTGACCTAGTGTACGATGATCTGAGGGTTTTTCGTTTGAAAAAGGAGAACGACCTGCACTCATTTCTCTGTGTTTTAGAGTGAAGATCTCTAATAAATATAGTCATTGAGGACCCTTCAATCTATGGTAGTGTTGGATGATAATCTTTATGTTGAAATATCCTAAATAATCATGACCACAACTCATGTGACTTATTTTAGATAGAAAACATAATACAGTTAGGGTGAGATAACAAATTAATGATTTCAGAAAGTTAGTACGACAAATTGCTTAAAATTTTAGTTCATAAGGCAAATTGAAAAAAATGTATAACTTCATATGACATTTTTAAAACAATTTCCTAGTTTAAAATATCGTTTTCTGTAAGTAGTCGATTTCCTTAACAAATAAGACATTTATCTTCAACTCATTGCGTTTCAAGTTCAAGTTCTCTCTTCTCGTTCTTTAATGTAAACCAACAAACAAAAAGGTTTCATGGGCCATGCTCAAAGAATTAGATGGACATTACAAAGACCAAAGATCCAATGTAAGTCCACTGTAGGCCCATGATCAAGATCTTCGAATCAACTCCATCCGATGGTCAAGAGCCTAAGCAAAGCATACACCTCACCACCACAGAAACATTTCCCAGAAAACAGAGCAGCACTTTTCACCTTCTGTATGTACTTCTCCCAACCCAACCCAGTCTCTGAAAAATTCTAGTTCGATTTCAGAGTTTCAGATCCATAAACCTTCTAATCCAAAATCCCACTCACTTCACCAACAATCCGTCGTCGTTTTGAGCTCGATCTCAATTCTCTGCTCTTAAAGGAAACAGAGTCTGAAGAGGAAGAGGAAGAAGAAGAAGAAGAAGAAGAAGATGGATGCTATAAGGAAGCAAGCCAGTAAGCTCCGAGAGCAGGTCGCCAAGCAGCAGCAGGTGATTTACGAACAACCCATTTCTTTGTTTTTTAATTTTCTCGTTCTCGTTCTTGTTTTTTATTTTTTTGAAGTAAAGTTTTGAGCTTGCTAGTTCACTGTTTGGTTACTCAGAAAATGCGGCGGTGGATTTCCTGCTTTGTGCTTGTGTTGATTTTCTAAATAATGAATTGGTTTGTAAATTTGAAGTGATTTCAGTGGAACCCAGTTCGTATTCGATCGAAAATTTTACTGTTGTTGATTTCTTGAGAGAAGAATGGTGCTAGTTAATTGAATTATGCAAATTCTGTTCATTTCGATCTGAATCCTCAATCGGGATAACCTAAATCTGAAAATTTGTTCCTTTTCTGTAATCTGTATAGAACCAATGAGCAAATATAGTTTGAATTTGCTGCATTTGTTTGTATCGAATTTCTTGGCGAAGGGGAAGATTGAATTCATTGTTTTTCAAATGAACCCGAATTTGGTAATTATCTGTACACTCTGTTGACAAAATTCAGTGTGGTCGATAATTTTTGATAGCACACAATAATAATATATAGCAAACACCACCCTCGGACAAGTGTAGAAAATAGGCACACTTTATGCGTTCGATGATAGGCACCCTCGGACAGGTGTAATAAATACCACCCTCGGATTGCTAACTTAAATTATTTAAGTTCATATAGCACTCCATTATGGTTCTTCTGCGAATCCGTTCTTTCGATTTATCTACTTTCTTTAGCTTGTTAGAAATATTCATCCATTGATTAGTTGCTATTATCTCTGTCCACCAATTTGATGTTGTAATTTTGTTTTCGAATTTTCAGGCTGTGATAAAGCAGTTCAGTGGGACTGGTTATGAAAGCTCAGATGTAATGGTAATAGA